GATGCTTTCATCTCCCCCATGGTCGACGCCTCCAGTGTTGCAGTAGGCGCGATTCTCCAAAAGCATCTTGTAGGTCCCACCGAACCTTTAGCTCCCTTCCCCAGGAAGTTATCATTTGTCGAGTTGCGCTACAGCAATAACAATAATAATTGTATTTAATGACAGTTTACAGGCATGGTCAGGGAAGCGTTAAGCAAAAATCCGGCCAGAAGTTTAAAAAAATCCTGTCACAAAGGAATGAAAATTAAGTTGTTGGTATTTTTTTATAGTTTGGAGAGTTTTGGAGAAAAAACCAGCTGACCACAAAATGCCGACATTCAAGAAGGGAAAGGTTGCACTGTATCGAACATTATCAGTTGCCAATTCTTTTCATGAAATTGTGGCTAGTCCAAACAGAAGCGCCGAAGAACAACTGCCGCTGTTGGCTAAATAAATTGTCCCTGATGAGACCGGCCATCGAGATCAGAGACCACAAACACCCCAGAAGTAAGTAAAAACTTTTGGAGCCCCATCTCATTCATGGACTCCGAAGAAGCGTCCATGTCGAGCAGTAATGTTAAGGACAAACAAAATTAGAATGTACGCAATTAGATTTCTACAACTCCATCACCTTAGTCTCCAAATGACGCTTCAATCGAAGTCATCCACCATAAACAAAGTATAATTAGTCAAACATTAGGAAATAAAGTAGGAAAAAACCATTGCCTCAGGTTAGTATGCAACTGGGCTGAATGTACATACATTTTGGAGGCCAAAAAGAATAGAATAGGTTTATTATAGCACCTCTTGGGTACTGCCAGTCTGCTTTGAACACAGGAAAAGAGCCAAACCAAATTCATCCATTTCGGTTGCACTTTGACTTCATTTGCTTTAGGGGTCTGTTTTTTTAATAGAGCGCGAATCGAGAATTCGTCTTGAGTTAAATAAATCTGAGTTCCAAGGCGAAATAATAGCAAAAGTGAAATAAAAGAACTGTATATACAATACAGAGATTGAAGTCTGGAGTTTGGTAGTTTTGGGGTCATAAATATATCGCCATTCATGGAATTTGAAAAAAACTTTGAGATCGGTCTGACACTGAACTTATCTTCGAGTTAAATAAATTTGTTGCTCGAGTATTTTCACGCGGACCGCAATGGCTTTTGAAATTCTCCTTGAGCTTTAATTTTACGAAATTATTTTTGGGTGATACTTCCAACCACGGAGCGATTCTGAGGATGTTATCAAGTCCCTCGGTCAAGTAAGAACACCACAGGCATGTGTATTCTTAGGAAATCGACTACTATAACAAATTAAGATGTGCCCACATGTTTTTCGATGTAGTTTACAGAGAGATTGACAGAATTACGGCAAAGCTCCTTAAAATGGAAGACACACATGGTTTTTTGCCGGCCGAAAACATGGAAACAGTAAGAATTTTCAAGGAGAATGGGCTTTGGACTTTCGCATGTTAAACCTCGTTCTCAAAAAGTTGGTATGGATGTCACCAGATGACACCTACGCTGTAGTGCTAAAGCGAGTACTGAAACTGCGTGCAGGTTTTAAGCGATTGGTTCTAAAACGGCATATAATAACTATGACGAGCTGATTTTTAGGATGCGAGAATATTTCAAGGTAAGTTAGAATATAGTTATTCGTTTCGGAAATTTCACGCGTCTCGTCCAAACTTTACATTTTTCCCGGATTTCGGCTTCCAGTCGTCCGTCCAGAAACGTCAGCTGCTTAGATATGGCGTTAAGAACGTGGCTATGCTTTTACCCGTATAGTTGATGAAATGCACGGCAAACGGTCGATATTCAAGATATTCAGTTGGAAAAGCCATAAATGAAACACAATTTCCTGCCTCATTTTCAATATGATACTCACATTCCTTCGATTTTTTAGCATGCTGTACTTTGCCATTTGTTTGTTTTAACCAAACGCTGTGTTTGTTTGTTTACTTTTTGGCTTTTTTGGTTTGCGCGCCCTATTATATTTCATCCGCATGTGTTTTAGTTAACGCATCCCCTACTTGTTCTATGCTTATTAACGATGGCCTCCATCTTCAATTTTTTTAGCGTTATGTTCCGGTGTAATACAAGTGGTTAGCATCATCAGAGCCCTCTCTGGCCAAATTGTGTACCCAAGAATTGACTCGAAAAACGGCCTATCTTATTGAAAAATAAATGTGTGCTGTTATTTAAAATGAAATTCTTATTTTCTGTATTGAATCCGATTAGGGGTCGACTTTTCCGAATAGAACTTTGAAGGGCAAGTCAGAGATCCGAATACCTTATGGAGTATAAATGTGATCGTTGGGAATTGTCAACCAGATGATCCCCTTCTCGACTTCATCAGGTCCTATCTGTCCAACCGATATCAGAAAGTCATGGTCGGTAAGAGCTACTCGACATCTCACTTGATCACGAGTGCCATGCTTCAAGGCACGGTTTTGGGTCCGCTTCTGTTCCTTCTTTACATCAATGATATTTCGACTGAACTCGGAAATTCTCAAACTTTTATTTATGCAGATGACCTAAATTGTGTTTGCTCATATTCTAAGGACACTGTAAACGTTTGTATTAAAAACATTAATGCCTATTTACAACAATTAAGCAGATGGAGTTTTCATCATCCAAGTGTAGTTTCATGTCTTTTGGTCCTGCCAAACTTCCTTGTCGCATAATTTTTCAGAATAACCCACTCTCGGAATGCTTCACCATAAAGGACCTAGGTTATACACATAAACTTGCTTTATCACCTCATGCAGATGGAATCTCTGCCAAAGCCGCGCAGATATGTGGATTCTTATCGCATCATTTTTTCCTTCAGAAATGAAGCTAAGACTTTATCAAATGTTTGTTCTTCCAGTCCTCGAATACTGCTGTCCCTCCTCTCGTTTAATGAACGTATTTGACCGTCATGAGATCGAAAATGTTCAGAGAGTTTTCACCCGGAAACTGTTTTCTCAAATCGAACTCGGTACTTCTTCTACTCAGAGATGTCAGCTGGCGAACATGACATTTTTGTGGGTTAGAAGACTCAAAGCTGGCCTTTGCTTCCTTTTTCGAATTAACTCTAGCTTCAATCTTCCGCTCATGGACACTCTCACTCCAAGAGATCGGTCTTATGTCCCACTCAACTCTTCCGTAGTGATTCCACTGCCTCTTTGCACTACATTTAAGCGCTCCCTCTTCTTTGCTTCCAAATATGCCTTTCTTTTGGAATAGTCTTCTGCCAGAAATTAGGTCATCGTCTGGTATTCAAGTCGAAATTGCGTAAACGCCTTACATCGGAAAGCATAAAGGCACTTTCAACGATCTCAGTCCCGAATACTCAGTTACTTGACTTCTAGAGGGGTCTCCCTGGTATTTAGTGGTAGATCAAGTGGAAACCCTCAATTATAGCATTAGAAACCCTGTTTGAATTGGTTGCTAAATCCACTGCTATCACTCCTCCCCCATAGCGGCGATTTTCGCGGTTCTTGATGTCATCTCCTCATTTCGACCTCAAGCGGTCTGTCGACGCTCACGGCGGAATCCTCAATATTCGCCGTGTACTAGTCGTTTGGCCGTACTCCCTTCCCCACCCCTCGGCTGGGCTCGAAGCGGACTGTGAACGATCTTGTCTGGGTTCCTCTCGTCTGGCCTCTTTGACGCGAATAGTCTCATCCGGCGTATGGATCCTGCCCTGACAATGTCCATTCTGAATCCCATATACAATAACGCATGCAGGCCAGTCCTGTCTGACCCGCATGCTTACCCCTCATGGTTGACATTCATTTCTGGCCTGACGATGTCCGTTTATAATCCGTTATACAATGCCACATGCAGGCCGGACCTGCACGCATTCTTGTGTTACTATTAGCGAGGGTTTTTCTCCTGTAAAATTAATCCAATCATTTTTATATGTTTAAGTGGAGTTTTTTCCACCGCTCGCTCATCATTTTTCTTAACGGACTATTAATTCAGAAACCATGAATTGCATGTTGTACATATTCTGCCTACCTCGTCTAAAATTCTAATTAAATTTATTTTTACTTTCTTTGATGGGACCCCAACGGGTCTTTAATAAAAAATTATTATATCTTCGTCATTTATAGTGTTTCGAGGGGCGGTTTTGATTGAAAGTTAATTTATTTCGAGAATGTCTTGGTCATGTGTGATCATGAACAGGAAATTTGGACTGCACACCGGCCAGTATTTGAAAACATTCAAGCAATAGGACAAAATGCCTAATATGTAGAAGATACAAATTCCAAATTGAAATATCTTAAGTCATACAAGACCGGAAGGAACTCTTGCCCGTCCCCTGCCCGAAGAACATTGCTACTTAGATTTTTTGGTCGAAAGACCAACAATATGAAGATAGAAGAACGGGGAATACACCGGGTACACGTCGAAGCAATTTACTGACACAAACAAGCTTTCGTACTAAAAGTACAGCATACAAAACAGCAACAACATGGTGTAGTTATATATCATGGCAAGTAAGCCCAGATTTGTTAGCGGCAGACGAATGACTACTGACAATCAAGATCACAAATTATGATCTCTGACTCAAGGCGAGCCCTAACGACCAAAAGAAATGTAGTTAACTTATCCATTAACTAACCACAAGCAACCGCACAGTTTATGAAAAACGGCCCCAGTAACCAATCTCCTCTGCTCGACTTCATCGGGTCCTACCTATCCTATCGCTCTCAGAAAGCTATGGTTGGTAATAGCTACTCGACACCTCACCTGATAATGAGCGGCGTACTTCAAGGCACGGTTGAGGGTCCGCTACTCCTTCTTTACATCAGTGATATTTCGACTAAAATCAGAAATTTGT